TCCAACTTTGAGATAGGTATTACTAGTTAAATAACATATGTGAGGACATATTGGTAGATTATTTCTAAGAACTCCCATGTTGTAGCAGCAGCTATGATCACAGAGAGGACAATGGAGGTGAGGTCAAAGGGCAGGGCTGAGAATCTTGTGTAGGCTGTTTAATAACTCTGGACTTAAGACAAGTCACTCATCTTGGACGCCTTTATTTTCTCATTTGTAAAATGGGACTATTCTTCTGCTACCAGACACTTCCGATTACGGTGAACTACTGCTCGAGCAACGTCGACCAAGGTGTCCACCTGTAGACATTTTTTTGGCACCCCCAGTATTTCCCTCTTCTTTCGACTCCCCTAGGTGCACATAATTGGTAAGAAAGGAACCTCCCCCGAGTTCAACCAGAAAGCAGGCTTGTTAAATCCCAGAATCTGTAGAGAGGAGATCCTCACTGAACAGAGAGCCCCCGAAGGCATCTGACTTCATTAAATTACAAAGGGCATATCTGATTCCATTTTTAAGCACTCCCTGTAATACTGAGAGGGCTGCTTCTTTCCTGCTACAAGGTAATCATCAGAATTGTCACTTTTAAGTATTTTGGATTTAATAAGGAAACCATTTAATTTCAAGATTCAAAATTATCTAGATTGGCACATTTCCTCAGTTCTCAAGCACTGTATGAAACAGCTTCAAATCAGGGAGGACTAACACGGTAATTCAATTTATTCAGGTTTGCCATACGCAAGGGGAATGGCATTAAGCAATGGTGGATGGGGAGCGGTATCTGCATTTCTTCCTGGTTAGTTCATTAGCCTTTCCAATTCTTACTATGTTCTCTAGGTCAAGGAAGCCAGGCCAAACTCGAATCAATTCGACAGTCCATTCTGCCACTGTGGGACCAATTCTGAGTCAGCGTGGTTACCATGGTTTGGCCCTGGTCCTTCCCCTTTGCTTTTTTAGCAGCGCTCTCTCATCATTGGGATGACATATGAGCCAGACTTTGGCCAGAGGCCGGAGTGCAAACTCAAACAACCCCTGTTGTAAAACTTGGGAAGAATCCATAAAACTGGGTATATAGTAAAATTATTCTAAGTGGATGGCATATAGGGACTGGGGATTGTGCACATGTGCAAAGAACATAAACAAAATTAGGCAGCCCTCAGTTAGAGCACGGTTAGACCAGCACGCCTGGTCAATTGGTTTGTCTTTGCTGGTCCCTGGTGCCTCCCTCCAGGCGCCCCTGGGGTGCTGACTCAACATTCCAGAACTTCTCTGTGGTTCTCGGCAGCACGGGACTGCATGCTTGGTAGCTATCTTGTCATTCTGACCTACTTGTCATTCCGTATAAACTGCTCCAGAAATTGCAGCACAATTTCTGAGACAGTGCCAAATGAAAAGGCTGGGCCCCTGGTTCATAAAGCAAGAATTTAAAACGGTGACAGCAGAGCAGTAAAGCACGCATGGGTCCTTCTAAGCATGAGATCCTGTGCATTTGAACGCACACGTCTCCTGCCCATGAAGCCAGCCCTGACTGCTGTAAGCGCTCTTCTGCTGAGCAAGATGGTGGAAACTCCCACCCACCAGCCTGATGGTATCATTTTACAACACACAGGCCAACCTGAGTCGGTCTTTGCAAAGCGGAAGGAGGGCAGCTCCCATCACCACTCCAATATACAGGATTTCTCCTTACCTGTTCAACCGCTCCGTTTCCACCTCAAACTCTCTAATTTTGCTTTCAGAGATGGCAGATCCATGTGAGTAGAGTGTTTGGAAGATTTCTTGGATGTTGGAGCAGTCCTGAAGAGAGTGGGCCAGGTGTTCCGCCACGCTGCTGGATACCTGTACAGGTGAGCATTAATCCCCTTCACTTCAAGGACACAGGTCCCCAGTCATGTTTTGCATGCAAAACAATTTAAAGCTGATTTTCCTCAAGGATTACCATGATGTTTTTCAGTTTGTGTAATATGATTCTAGGATAAAAAGCTAACTATGACTGTGAAAGCAATACATAAACAGGATCAAAATACAGCTGCATCCTTCAAACGCATGCTGCTTGGGGATTATGCCTCTTTAGAGTCCCTAAAATTTTGGATATTGAGAAGAGTCGAGACTCCCTTCCCCCTCCCTGGACGCCTGCCACTCCAGGCTCCTGTCTCTGGCTGCTATGGCCAAGGAGAGTGGCCGACTCCTTTATTTTCATAATTTGAATTTGGCATGGAATCGGGATGCATGCAATTTTTGCTGAGCACCGAATTCTAAATTAGGGCCTTAAAAGTCTATTCAGGCTCTCCCAACCCCTGAAATAGCTTGCTCTCCCAGCCTTGTCCCCAATCATAACGTTCCCATATCTCCCAGGGAACCCAAACTACTCTCTTCCCACCATCCATCAGCTTACAACCCCAGGGGGGTTCGCAGGCTCTACAAATGAACGCTCAGGTACTAAGCTAGAAGGTTCTGGTCTGTCATAGCACTGGACCATGCTTCCAAGGCAGCGTTTATCACCACTGGAGAGCACATTGCCTTTCAAGAGGGCTATACAAAAGGTGAAGTTCTTTTAGAGCGTCCTGACTCACTCAGTCTCTGGGGAGCAGAGTGATATGAAGCAGATAGTTCAAGACTTTCATCTACATCACCAGTAACTAGACTTAAATCATTTCTTTCTGAATGGTTTTAAGTAGAGAGGAAAAAAAAAAATCTCCCTTAAAGCTGAAGAAGTAATTCGCCATGTGGAAACCACTGCACATTTTCATCTGACCCTTTGGAAGGAAATCAGGTATGATTTATTATTATAATTAACAGGTTTACGGGAGGTGAACCCTGGAAGTTCTTCCATCGTCTCTAAGCCACTGTCTGTGCATCTATTGGGGACTCTCTTGCCTGGCTTCTCATGACCACTCACCCCAATGCTGCTGATCTCTGAGCCCAGGACTGGCCGATCAGACGACGAAGATTCGGACCTGGTCTTTGATAGCTTCACCCTCTCCGCAATCTAAAATAAACAAAACAAGTTATCCATAAATGATATATCGCTCTACAGATAAACTGTTGAGACTGTGTATATAGGACTATTGTTTAACCATGGCAACTAATCTGATCAATTTCTTAAAAACATAACTCACTTGTCTAATTTTTCTATGATCCACTTAATCCCAGGTTTTTCAATCTCAGCATGACTGACATTTTGGGTTGGTTGGCTATTCTCTGTGGTGGGGGCTATTCTGTACATTGTAGGGTGTTTAGCAACACCCCTGGCTTCTGGCCACAAGATGCCAGTAGCACTCCAGTAGTGACCATCAAAAATGTCTCCAGACATTGCCGAATATCCCTTGGGGGACAAAATCACTTCTGGTTGAGAAACACTGGTTTGGCTTAAGTTATTCAACTTGATAGTTGAGAATCAACCTTCTTGTGGAAATCAGCAGGCTACCAGGGAAGAGGAAATGTATCATTTGAAAAATTTTTCTGGGGTAGATTCAACATATGAGTCTGGGGCTGTGGCAGAGAACGGGTGGGGCTGTTTCTCACAACTGCCATGGCCTGCCCATCATAATCTATTTTTCTGTTGGCAGGGCTGTCTGTCCTATGAGAGGAGATTATGGTTCATCACTCAGGGTCCCCTCCTGGGCTGAACCTTAGTCCTCGAGAGTATCTCTCTATCTACCCCTCTATATTGTAGAGCCTGACAAAATGTCTTACTCTCCACAATGACTTGTCAGCTGTGACATACTCCAGCCGGCTGATTAATGAGCCAGAGTCCAGGTTGCAGCTGAGAGAGACTTAAAACTATTAGTGGGTTATCTCTCCCTGTGCTCGAGTCTGGGGAAGCCCCTTGGGGCCGTCTGAGCTAATTCACATGCCTGCATAGAGGCCATGCTTGGTAGAGACTGGTGCTTCCAGATAACAGGAGGTGTTCCCGCCGTCCCCTGGAGCTCACCTTGGCGATGGGAATGTCATTGCTACTGCTGCTTGTGCTCAGCTCCCCGGTGCTGGGGTTAACTGGGCGATTGGTGGAAGTGAGGCGGCCAGGGCTGGAGGGCCCTGTGGCCTGCACGCTCTGTAGTCGAGTTTGAAGCTCTCGCACCTGAAATAATAATGCCTTTAGACACAGCTGGTGGTTTCCTTGACCAAAGAGCAAAATAGCCAGATGGGTGGATGGTAGGGCTTTCATTTATGTTGAGGGATTAGCTTCACTAAAACGCAAAATTGGTTGAGTCCACATAAAAGTCACTGTATTCTTAACTAGGCCTGCCATTGGCCACCATCTGCTCTTCACCAGCACGTGGTGACCATGCTATATAAGGCACCGGAAGCTTCCAGCAGAGGTAGAATGACTGTTATCTTTAAGGACTGTTGATTCATTCAGCCTCCCGTGCCTGATGCCTGATGCTGTTCTGGGTACTGCAGAGAGAGAAGCCAGGATGAAACCTCCACTCCATGGAACTCGGAGCTCAGAGGAGAGAGACAAATTTCAACACAAGTGCACATGAGTGCTCGCTAGAGTGCTGTAGGAAGCAGAAAAGAGGGGGAATGTACCTCCATCTGAAGTCATCAGAGAAGGGTTAAGGAGGGAGCGGTACCAAGCAGAGTCTTACAGGTGAACAGGGTTGTAACAGGTGTGTAAGGGGCTGGCTTTGGTGGTGGTTGTGGGTGAGTCGGGGCAGGAAGAACAGCTTGCTCAAGAGTCCAGGCATCAGGATGACATGCTGTGTTTGAAGAATTGCAAGTCATTTAATATGCATGGTGTAGGAGAAAGATCTGCACTGGCAAGGAGGTGAGGCTAAGGTGAAGAGACAGAGATGGCGTGCACAGCTTCCCCCAGGGACTTCAAGATGGGATTAGCCTTGGGGTGGTGGGAAGGAATACCTAAACAGCCCTTTTGTATAAAAATAAAAGACAGGGTCCTTTGAATGACATTTAAAACACACATTTACCTGCACAGAATTTAAATGTTCAAATCCCATTTCTCTATGGTTACAGCTCAGTGACAAAAGAAGTGTTCCAAGTAAGTGAAGACAGTTGTTAGAAATTGGTCTTTCTGATGACCTTGACCACAGTTCTATCATTGGGTACGGCATCTATCTTAAAGGACAACCTGGCTGTAGCACCCAAGGGCCCTTACAATGGGTACCAGGTCCTACTGGGAAGAATTACCACCAGGCCATCTAAGGCACGGCTTCCCAAACGTGTAGGCGCACCAGGATGCCCTGGAAGGCTTGTTAAAACCCACCCTAGGGATTCTAATTTAGTACATGGAGACAAAGCCCAGGATGTGTCTAACAAGCTCCCAGGAGATGCTGATGCTCCCGGTCAGGGGCCCACATCTTGAGCAGCACTGACCTAAGGGACTCCCAGGGCCACGCAGCACCTTAGTCCCAGAGACAGGAGGAGCAGAGTCACACCCCTGCCTGCCCTGGCGCCAAAACCCTTCTAGGCAAACCCTTCTCTAAAAGCAACTGGAAAGCTTTTCATATTCAATATCTTGGATGTCTCCATCTTGCTAAATTGGGAACCAAAAGTAATTGAAATTTCAATAATTCATATACATATTAGAAGCCAAAATAGGAAAATTCCCTCGGAACAAATTGCATTCAGCAGTGAAACAGCTAAAAAGTGCCCACCGCTCTGCTGCAGCTTCCAGGAACAGTGGGTTGATGGAAATGCATGTTGTTCTCATCGCACGCTAGACACAGGGCTAACCTCAAAATAGTTTAAAGGCTAGAAAACACGTGCCTGTTGAAGCCAAATAGTATTGCTGGTGAGAGATCACGGGGCTCATTCAGGAATGGTGCCCAACACACCAAGAATGTACCCGTCGTGTGGTGTGGATGCCACAATTCACTGCATGGCGAGAGGAGAGGGCCTGTTTCCCCATCAGGCCACCTTCCTGGCACCCGGGAAACCTGCCTGGTGAAGACCATGGGTGTCAATTTCCATTGCTGTGAAAGTCTGATGAGGCGCTGGATAATTAACAATGTTAACACCACTCCAAAGAGCTAAAGAGTGTCTGACTCTTTCACAAAACAATCAGTGATCTCTCCCTAGATTCTCAATTGGCCCACTCATCTTGCTTTCTAAAAACGCAAATCGTCCTGGGCAATTTATAAAAACTTCATTAAAACTTCCCGTTTTGGGGCCGGCTGAGTGGCTCAGTTGGTTAAGAGCTCGCTCCAGAGTGCGAGCTCTGAGCAACAGCGGTTTGAGTCCCGGCCCGAGCTGAGCAGCAGCTGAGCTGCCAACAGGTGGCAAGATGGCGCAGCTAAAAAAAACAAAACAAAAAAAAACAACCAAAAAAAACTTCCCCCCCCTTTTTTTTTTAAACATTCCTTCTAATCACTAAAGTAAAACCTGTTCAGTATGGAAAATTTAGATGGCACTGAAAAATAAAAACAGAGTACCCATGTGATTTCTTACTATACACGGACAATTGCTTCTAGTCATTTTCTACAGTGTGTTTATGCCACATACTTGAAATAATTTCTAAATCTAAATGCCCATTTTCATTTAAAAATCTTTGGACCCAGAGAACATCTTTGAAAACCAAAAGGAGTGGAATGAGCCTGTCATGGAAAGAAAGAAAGATAGCTCGTTAAGTTAAATAGCCTTCTCTCTGCTCTTGGTTTGGGGATGAGGGTGGGTCTTAATTTCAATGAATAAATGCACAGAAAGGAAGGCTACAATTTATTTGCTGGTTCAGCCCAGGTAAGGTTTAGGAGGGGGAGAGACACCGCTATTAGAGGCTCACTTTTATACTCACCCATCATAGTAGGTTGGACTGTGTTCCCCCCAAAGATATATCTAAGTGCTAAGCCCCCCAGTACCTGTAAATGTGACCTTAATTTGAAATATGGTCTTTGGAGATGCAATTAAATTAAGGCTCTCAAGATGAGATCATCCTGGATTTAGGGTGGGCCCGCAATCTAATGACTAGTGTCCTTGTAAGGAAAAGGAGGGGGAGATTTGAGGCAGACACAGAGAAGAAGGTCATGTGAAGATGGAGGCAGAGATTGCCACAAATCAAAGAACACCAGGAGCTACCAAAAGCTGGAAGAAGAAGAAAGGATTCTCCTCTAGAGACTGTGGAGGGAGTACAACTCTGCCAACAACTTGATTTTGTGAACTCCAGAACTGTGAAAGAATACATTTCTGTTGCTTTATGTCACCAAGTTTGAGGTAATTAACTAATATATCCATCTTTTATTGAGGATATTTTATTAAAGAAAAATATGTTTCTCTCTACAAAATATGTGGTTTGGAGTCAGGCAGGAATCACAGCTCCTTTAAGCTAGGAATCGGTATGTGTAGGAAAGTCATTCATCCCCCATTACAGAAATTCTCAATTGAAGCTCTTCAACATGATTTTAAGAGAACATGATTTTCAGGGGCCATTTTCTTATTTCTCCTAAAGTTAGTATGTAGCCAGTCCCCAACTCGATGCCCAGAAGAGAAGTTAATCTGTTGCATACACTGGAAACCTGGTAGAGTATGAAGGTAAGATTCTTGTCTTTCAGGGGTTCAGAATCTAGCCAAATATGACAATGTGAAACATGCTCTGAAAAGGGATATCAACGAGGAGTGTCAATGTGTAAAGGAAATATCCCCTCTGCCTTCCCAGAGTAAGAAATGCTGGGCTTCAACCCTGAAGGCTCAGTAGTTCGTTCAACAAGCAAATGAAAAGGAAAAGGTGATGGGAGAGGCTCTGAAGGATTCAAGGAAGGAAATGACATTAAAATGCTAGGACTCTGCTTCTCTCATTTATACTTTAATGACTCCCGAAGGAGAACGGGGTTTTATAAAAATTGTTTGATCACAGAACAGAATGGACTGGAGTGAGGAAGAAAAAGGAGGTGAGTCAAGAGCTGCACTGATAGTGCAGGTGAGAAATGCTGAGGGCTCAAACTCAGTCAGTGAAGTGGAAGTGAAAATGGCAAAACACACGCTAGACCATCATTGTCCACTAGAATTTCCAGTAATGATGGAAATGTTCTATAGTTGCACTGTCCACTATGGCAGCCACTAGCCTCATGTGGCTAGTGAGCACTTCCAATGTGCCCAGTGTACTCGAGAAACTGAACTTTTAATTGTATTCTGTTTTCATCTATTTAAATTCAAATTTAAATAGCTGTATGTTGTTAGTAGCTACTGTATTGGTCCGTGCAGTTCTAACTGTTCAAGGAAGTAAAAAAATAACCCAAACTTGTGGCTGGGGTGACTTAGTGGATCACGGTGCTACTCAGCAAAACAGGGAAAATATAAGAAGGAGTTGCTTTTCCAGAGAGAAATCAAGGTGCCAGCTTCGGACGTGTTGAATTTGGGGAAGCCATTGGGTATGTGAGTGGAGCTATTCAGTCAACAATTGGAAATACAATCTGAGAAAAGGAGATCAGAAATGGATGTAGAGTTTAGGAATTCTGTGTGTGGATGAGGTTGCCCATGGAAGAGGCTGGGCAGTGGTGGTGCAAGGAGAGAGCCTATATATAGCTAATTGGATGGAGGGATAAACAGAGGACAGTAAGAAGGAAGTGCTTTTGCTCTGGGGGACAAAGGAAAGAGGTGAGCGTACGCAAGAAGGAAAGTGAGTTGGCAGGTTGGAAAATGAGGATGGGAAACAGAGGGGTTCCCATCTGATGGTTTCTGTCTTTTTAAGAGAAAAGAATTAAGGCGCTCTGCTAGGAGTGAGGGAAGGAATAACAGATGTCAGAAATGAGGGAGAAAGCTGACCTAGGACCAAAAAAGACGGGGGAAAAAAAGCTTACGCAGCACTGAGAACTCAGCTGAGCTCTTTCATTCAAGAGGGTAAATTCAATAAATGCACCGTTTGCTCCAAACTCTGGAAGCCTCATGAAAATAATAGCAAAGAATAAAAAAGATTAAAACCATAACAGTGAAAAGAATGTGCTTGGGGTATTAGCAGAAAAAAGATTTGGGCACATTCTTTAAAGGCAAAGTACAAGGAAGAGAACTGATGGAAGAAACAGAATGGAAAAAGCTGGGTTCTATAAAATATACAAGAGGAGGTGTCCAATCTACTCAGAAAAAGGCTGGCAGGGTTTAGGCTCCACTTTGGCAGATACTACGAGGGAC